AGTATTTCCTATTACCATTTGACCCTAAACCTAGCCTACACTTCACATGGGATGTGAACTGGGCATTCTTTTAAAAATGAAAGTTTATTGATTTATTACACTTACACATTACGCTTTTATAATTATTAGTTGTAAAACGGTCACCAGGCAATATTATCGTTTATCGCAATAAATTTTGAGACAATTAATCGTCCAGCAAAATTTGTTATCGTGACAGGCCTAGTGTCAAGGCTTTTTTCTCACGTGTCATCCAGGGAGCTTTGATAGCTTGCGACCCAAGGTCAGCAGCTGCAGGGATCCATTGATAAACATAATTGTTTTGGGGTAAGCAGCCTGGTTTTCTCTGCTTTGAGTCTTAACGGCATCTCTGTGATGGCGAAAATACCAATTTTCCAAATTTCAGTCCCTCCTCGCCTCTCTCTGACTGAAACTTCACCCAGGTGTAATCCTACATCTCATGGTCACGCTGCTGAACTGTGATTCTCGTCAGAATCACATCCAGTTTGCAACTTACTGTATTTCCCCCAGCATCTGAGTCTGTGCATTCCCACTACGGGAGATACCATCCAAGGTCCCTGACAGCTTTTGACATTCCCAGACTGCTGTTAGGATCGTTTTCATTTTCCGATAAGCCAAAACTCCTCCACAGCCGATCAGCAGGAGTCCAGTTATCATAAATCCAAATATGTACAGATCTTCCACGTCTTCAATGGAAAGTGGGGCCAAACAGATCACGTTCCACCCACAAGACCCAGACACTCGCCCGGCCGCGACCATTCCACTGGGACAGCTGTGCTACCCTCGCTCCAATCTCAGTGTGGAAAAAAATCGTGTTGATTTCGTTCAGAGACCAGTTGACTAAATCCATAATTCCTTTTGTTTTCGGATTATAGGTAGAAGAAAGGCTAGACACAGCTGCAAAGCAGGAAGAAGGGATAGGTTCAGGAAAGAGAACAAAAAGCGTCCGACTCCTCTGAAGGCCAAGCAGGAAAAAAAACACCCACATTTGTTCTTCTGTCCTCACAGGAGATCCAGAGATCCAAAAAATCCTGAAGGCCAAACTACAGGAGTTTTTCATCTAAGGGTGATGTGTTGAAAAGAATTTAATGATGAAATGTTCATTTTGACACGTTTATAATATGTTCAGTCCTTTTAACATTTGCCCTTCGAATTTCTTTCATTTCATTTATCATGACATGTTTTCAGGTCATAGAATGACTTTAAAAACTTTTCAGTAAGTTATACGTCTACAATTCTGGTTCAAATATAGAACTTTATTTTTGCTACATTGTTAAGTAATTATTTATGAGTTCACATTGCCTCAATGGACAGTGATTAAAGAAAGGGAACCTGTAAAAACTCTGATGTTAAATGTGAAACGTTTGCAAATTTGGGTGCACCTAACTTTTGTGATGGTGCACCTTAGAAAAAGTTAGGTGCACCGGTGCACCCAGTGTAAAACGTTAGTCTACAGCCCTGCTTGGAATATTGTGAGAAGTCTAATAATATGCCAACACGTCATCACACAATGGGCCTCATGCAAGAACCATTCGTACGCACAGATTTGTTCTTAAGTTGTGCGTACGAGTGATTTAGGAGAATTTGTGGCATTCACCAATGTTTTCATATTCTAAGAT